TGGCTCCCACTGCTCACGTGCACGTGTTTCCCTCACTTGAACTTCAGAACGACCCATCACTTACATGGAGACCTTTGCTGTACGGAGACCCCTGCGCATAGTAGGTGCCCAGTAAGTATGCGCTGAACATCACAGGCCCAGGCACCAAAACCAGACAAGCCAGAGCAGGGCCACCATCTGGGGCTCAGAGACCACCGTCTGCCCTCCTTCTCATGGGCATTCCCTACAACTAACAACTCCACAGTAGGGGACTTTAGGTTTGGAAGCTGGTCTCCTTGTTCACCAGAGGAGCAAATGGACTATTTGCACCGATGGCTATATCCCCCACTAAACTCTTCTCAGATGAAAATGAATGCGTCACACCACACACAGTCTTCTGAGATGAATCAATGGGATGCGTGGTGACATAGCGGGGACTCGTCACGTTCAGGAGAGACCCTGGACAGGATGGCAGCTGTATCTCCTGAAGAAAACGTTAGACCACACCATCGGAGACAGGGTCTGAAGCTAGAACAGAACGAACAAAACCCACAGACAGCCCCAACGCGGAATCTGTCCACGACACCGTTAAGATTTCTTTTCTCCCACAAGGAAGGAAAAAACAGGAAATGATACCAGCCCCCATGCCTTCTCTGTGTCCATGCCTGCGTTCCTCACAAGCACCGCGGGCCCCACGGCCCCGGCTCAGCTCTGAGGGGCTTCGCGGGCAGCCCGGGGTCTCTGCGCGGACAGGGAGGATGACTGCTTACTGGTGACCCTTCCTCTCCCACCATGTCGTCCCGAGGACACGGGTTGTTACACTTGCGTGTTAGTGACGGGAAAGGCAACGTCCTCCCAGGAAGGCTCTAAAAATAACTGAGTAACCTGATTCTCAGTGCAGAGAGTGGCAGGAAGGGAGGCCTCCTATGGCTGCCACACAGGGACTGAGGCCTGACTTCCGAACTTCCTTCCAGGCTTTGGTTCCCACAACCCTCACGTCCAGCCAGTGGACAAAGGGTAGGACCGGGCCTGAGGTCTGGCTGAGACCCCGTCAGTGGCGCAGCTGGGGCTGCCCGTGAAGCAGGTAGTGACACGGATGATGCGTGAGCCTGTAGAACACCATCAGAGTGTCACTGATGGGCCTGTCCAAGGGAAGAGAGTTCTGTGGGAAGAAAACACTGCAGAAAACCCACAACCACCTGCCTCTTTGAGAACACTGACGGGAGTCCGAGGCCATTCCCAGCCCCGTTCTCTCCGAGCCTCACCAAGGCCTCTGCACTCCACCCCTTCCCCCTTGACCGAAGCGTCAGTATTCCATGGCTCTTCCAGGGGTACCCGTGTTCTCTGCACTCACTGCAGCTGGGCTAACACCACCCAGCACGTGGACCTGCTCCAGAGCGTCCTCACTCTGCCCCGTGCGGCTCCCACCCTGACAGCCGGGCCCTGTGGGCCATCTTCACCCCGCGGGGGCTGGAAAGCAGGGACAGGTGTTCTGGGTGCTTCCGTGCGGGAGTGCTGGGCTCTCGGCGGTCCTCACGCAAGCTGCCCACTTCCTGTGGAGCAGCGCTGCCCTACATGGCGTCCCTGTCTCCCCACCAGCCTGGTGGCCACTCGACCTCTTCCTCTCAGCCTCCAATGCGCTCGCTTCCCTAAAGCCAGTCTCATCAGATGTCCTTGTGCAGGGACACACCAAACAGCAGGGCGTTTATAAGAGGCGCACCCCAGCAGAGCCACGTGCTCTTAAGCATTTATTTACCAGACGTAAAGCACGGGTCTCTTGGCTTCAAGTTCACCTTCTGTGTGCCCTCTCTTCCAAACTTGGAACACGTGGAAACTCACCTTTGAAGGGCAGGGAACTTGGAACACTTGGAAACTCACCCTTGAGGGACAAGGACAGGAATCTTGACCTTTGTCCAGTCTCGAATGGTCCACCCAGGGAGTAAAGAGCGTGACAACGTAAACAGCAAAGGACGGGATGGAACCGTGCCCATCAGAAAATGCAGGAGACAGAGGAGAGCGAGGCTAAGCCCTGTACACACGTCTGAATGGGAGGACATGGCAGTGAGCAGGAGAGACGTGTCATCGGTCACATTCTTCCTCCTTCTTATGGGACAATCAGGTATCCAGACGTCTTTGTCTTCTAAGAATGGCATCAGATTCTTGTCAATTAATTGCTCATCTATTAAGGCTTAAGCTGAGATCTGGTGAAATCTTGCCCTAGAGAATCTCAAATTACCAATTAATCTGATAAGAGAGGCAGAAATCTCAATCTCTTGCTACAGAAGGGAGGGAGCATAAGCCCGTGGTGACAAACAGAAAGAACTATTGATATAAAGTTGTTTTATCTGCACCATATATCTTCCATCCAATTGAGGCAGCAAAACAAGAAGGGAAATGGGCCACGATAATGATTTTTCCTTTAACCCATGCTTGCAGCAGGTGAACGTTCAAGTCCGAAAGGTCTGGCCCAGGAAAGCGCTGCAGAAAAACAAACTTCGAATGCAAAGGAAAAGCCGGCCCTGACAGTGGCTTCGTCTTCCGCTGGAAAGTCAGAAAGCAAGAGGAAACGCTGACCCGAGAGGTCTCTCTTCTGCAGGAACGCTGGCCTCGCACACACCACGGTCATTTCCCCCCAAGGGTCACCCTGAGGCAGAGAACGGTAGCAAGGGTCGTCCTGCTCTAAAGGCACCGCCCTCTGCTGTTCATGGTGACACGAAGCTGCCGCTCAGACGAGTCTTTCCGAGGATGACAGTCCCTTTCCCAGCCCCCTCGTGCTGCAGCTGAGACCCCGGACCCCAGACACGAGAGCAGTAGCCACTTTCCCTGCGAGCAACTTCATCTCACGCTGGGAATGTGCCCTCCTTCCACCCGGTCCTGCCGGCAAGAAAGAAGGTCACAGCACAGCCGTGCAGGAACCCACGGTAATCACGCACGAACACACGCGCGCGCGCGCGCACACGTGTGCACATGACATACACATGACACTCAGATACACACAAATGAATACAGACAACACACATGTACACAAGTGTGCACACAACACACAGATACACACAGACGACTACACACATGTGCACGCATGTACACGGCATACACATGACACAGATGAATACAGACAACATGCACATACATGTGTACGTGACATACACACGCCAAATACAGACAACATGCACACACATCTGCACACGACATACACATGATACACAGATACACATAAACGAATACAGACAACACACATGTGCACACGACATACACATGACACACAGATACACACAGATGAATACAGACAACACGCACACACATGCACACATGTGCACAGGGCATACACACAACACACACAGATGAATACGGACAACATGCATGCCCACATGTGCACACGACATACACATGACACACACAGACACACAGATGAATACAGACCATACGCACACACATGTGCACATGACACACACACGACACACAGATACACTCAGATGAATACGGACAACACGCACACCCACATGTGCACATAACATATACATCACACACACAGACATACATAGATATACAGATGAATAGAGACAACACATACACACACACACACACACACACACACACACACACCACATCAATGTTTCCCAAGGGAGGGAAAACTCCACAGATTTGGACGGTCTAGAATAAGTAACTGTTGTCCAAACGGTTTGCTTCACAAAGGAACCGAGGAGGTGCCCTGCCTTTGTTGGAACAGCACAGAGCTGAGCCTCCAGCAGGGCGTCGTGTTCAAGTTCCCATTTGAGCTTCTCTGTAAGACGATTCTAAAGACCACGCTCACTGAGAGTTCCCGTTCTAGGACACGGAGCCTGACAACAGACATGGACACATGGAGCTCACCATCCAGGCAAAGAGGGCAGAAATGGGAGGCCGCGTCTCAAAAAAAAGTACTTGAGAAAACCAGTCGACACTCTGATGCAAACTTGAAGAGTCAGCTGCTGAGGACTTCTCTAAAAAACAAGTAAAAGCACCATCTACAGCTCAAAAGGGTCTTGGGTTTCAAGCTGGCTTTGATACATGGTCTGTGGTTTGCGCTCAAAATAAAATATCTTCTGCCCTATCGTGTTAGACAACTATTGCTAACTGATGAAATTTGCTACCTACAGTATAGCAACTCCTGAAACAAGCTGGCGGAGTGAACTTTGTTGGGAGGTGTGGGCACAGAAAGAAGGCGTGCAGGACCAGAGTGAGAAACGGCACAGACCGTGAGCGGTCCTCCCACACTGCGTGTGACCGACGGCACGGACCGTGAGTGGCCCCTCCCACACTGCGTGTGACCACTGAAACGCGGGCAACTTCTGAATTCATAATGAAGAAACGCCTGAACGGTGAACACTATAACGCAACAGCAAAATCATATGTGGGCAGGACTGCACACACATCTGCACACACGTGCACACACACCTGTGTGCACGTGGCCAGCCACACACTTCCATTACTTGAAGAAGACACAACGGTTTCACAAAGCACAGCGTCAAAAGCCAGGGTCATTGGTGTGATGACCTGAAAATGGGGCGGCCCGTGTGTCACCCGCCAGGTACACACTGTGGGCACAGGGCCCCTCGATATGTGTGGGTCAGAAAGGGGAGAAGGAATAGCACCCGTCCCTAAGGCCATGTCTTCCCCTCTGAAGGAGGACTCATGCCCCAAGACCTGGACTACTTTTCTGGAGTTTCAACCGGCAAGGAGGCTGCGCAAGCACAGGTGCGGGTCCCACCCGCTCCCCGGGGCCGCTGCGTCCACGTGCCCCGTGGTCTGGGCTGCAGGTCGGAGGGCTGAAGGGCTCTGTTTTGTGGAGAACGGCCCCGAAGCTCAGGCCCCTGGGTCAGAACACTGGGTGACCGACAGGCTGGCTGCCGGCCGGCCTCCCGCCCCCGAGGTACCAGGAATGCCTCCTCCCGTGTCTCTGGGTGAAGACGGGCAGGGTGAGGGCACCCCCACTCCACCCACCCAATGAGCGCCGGGGGCGGAACACCAGGGCCTCTACTCACTCGGTTCCGGTCACAATGTAGCCGTGGTCCTCCTGGGAAGGCTTGACCTCCAGCCGCAGGCCTTCCGTGGGGCGTCCCTGGGCTCCGGCCGTGAGGTGGGCGTCTTCCTGCGAGGGTCGGGGAACCCAGGGCCGGAACCCGCCGAAGCCGCCCGTGCCGGGCTCTGCGGGAAGCGGCCTCTGCAGCCGCTCCTTGGAGTAGGTCTGACTCCTCACGTCCTCCACCCCGGCGCTCTCCTCCTCCCAAGTCGGGGGGGCCTCGGCGGCCTCTGATTTCTTTGCCTCCATTTTGAAGGGCTCCGAAAGAGGGGGTACGGCAGGAGAGAGTTGGGACCCAGGGTCCGGCAGGCGGTCCCCAAGTTCGAGGCTCAAACGACTGACCTGGCAGAAAGGAGGCTCCGTGAGATGAAGTTTAGGGGGATGGGCGGGTAGCCGCAGGCAGGGGAGGGAGCAGTTCTGTCACAGCTGCACTCAGACATCCGGTCGGCCAGGGCAGGACGAGGGCCGCGCACATCAGCATCACTCACGGTGAGTGAGTGCATCTGTCTCTGTCTCTCTGTCTCTGGTTCACTTTCTCTGTCTTGGTCACTTTCTCTCTCTGTCTCTCTGTCTCTGTCTCCGTGTCTGTCTGTCTCTGTCTCTGGTTGTCTTTCTCGCTCTGTCACAGTCACATACACCTTCCTCAAGAATCTGACTTTATAAAATCAGTGTAGGCGTTTGGCATCTAAAGTTTTAAAGAGAGCGCACGTGGATTCTGAGACCCCATCCTACCCCTCTGGAAACAGCGGGCCTCTGACAATGACAGTACTATTTGCATCTACTGAGCTCTTACAATGTACAAAGGCTCTCTCTCAGACACCTGGTCTGCGTGAACCCCCTGAGTCCTCACGATGTCATGCTCGTCCCCATTTCACAGGGAAGTGGAGACACCAGGACCAAGCGGTCACAGGGACACGTGATTGCATCCTCACACCCCCTGAGGGACGCTGGGTCGTCATATGCAAAGGCTTGCCCGTCCTGACCCCCGTTTCCTGGACAAGAGGGCCCTCAGAACCACTTAATTGACATCTCGCCAGATGAACATCATCTTACACACACAGGGCTGATTATATGCCAGACACTGTGCTCAACGATCTGTGCACATTCGCTCATTTAATTGTCACCCCAGCCTGTGAGCGCAGGCCTAGTTTTACCTCTAATCCATAGACTCCGAGGCCTACAGAGGTTAATAATTTGCCCAAGATCACTGAGGCACTGATTGGCAGATCCAGAATTTGAGTGCAGCTCTGACTGATGTCAGGGATGCCACCACTGGACCACACTGCCCTCTCAGACTCCGGCCTGCTTCCAAGGGAAGCGAATGGTCACTCCTGCTGCTGGGGCACGAAGTGCACGCCCAGGGCACCTCCTCCTGCATACGAGAGCAAGAGACCCCTGCTCATTCTGCAAGGTATGTCCTTTTTCCGCATGAAATCACATCCCCTGGATTATACCGGATGGAAAAAGGAAAAGTGAATTTACTTTATGCTTTCCATTCTCTTCTTAACTAAAAACTGTACATGATGTTTTTCCTTTTGTGTTTTGAAATATGTAAAGAAAACAGTATCTTGGTAAAAACATTTGCTCGAATCTGGATCCTGAACGGTGGCTGTACGTAGCATTTCAGTTACTAAGTAGGGATGGAACACTCTCCTCAGGCTTTTGAAGGAAAGAGAATTATGTTTTTGCTTAAACTGTGTTCCGTGAGAAGAGGAAACAAAAGATACTAATAAATAAGAGCTCAGAAAACACAACACTCAATACCCATTTGGAAAAAAGTTGCTTGAAAACATACCCCAGGTAACAGAGAAATGAATCAAAATTCAACTTGTTTAGGATGGAAAGGTAGGGTATAAGGACCCTGGGGTCTTCACAGAGTCAACGTGGACTCAAGTGTGTGCCCTGGGGAGACCCAGCAGCCTTGGCTTTGGCCGCACTCGGCCTTCGCTGTAAAATTCCCTCCACTTCCTAAGTCAAGAAACACGTTCTTAGGCCCACGTCTCCCTCCTCAACTGACACAGAATATCCCCCCATTTCTGATGGACATTTAAGAGGACTGTTGATGTTCTCTTCTGCTACTTGCTAACAGCATCGAACCAAAAACCACTGAAGTAATCTGGAAAGAGAAGTACAAACCAAAAATTGTTTTCCACTCTACAAAAAAACAGAACCACATATCGTGTGTATCATCGCTCACACACTGATCTTCTGCATCCTTAAGGCTTGTGCTAATGAGCAAAGGTTCTTAAGTAGGAACCCCTCGGTGAGTGGGGGTACCTGTGACTGAGCCCTGCTTCAGACTGCCTTCCCAACCAGCGCTGTCCAACAGGACCTCCGGCGATGATGGAAATGTTCCGTATCGGCACCATCCGATGCCCTCGTTACGAAGCAACACTGGAATGTGGGCTAGCACAAGTCGGGAAGCATGTTTTTTATTTCCTTAATTTTAATGAACTTAGATTCAGGGTTAAATAGCCGCCGTGTGGCCACTGGCTGCCACGTTAGACAGTGCAGTCCTAACTGTCCAGAGCCTGTGAAGGTCCCTGCTACGTGGAGCTCGGGAGTCAGTGCACACAGGACAGTCACAAGGACATAAAGCAGGCGTTTGATGTAATCGGTCCAGGTAGGAAAATTCTAAGGAATGCTGATTTTCTTACTCGTATTAATTATATTTTTCATATTCCTACAATGGGTATTAGTACATAATCTGAAAGCAGATATTACTATGTATCAAAATATACACAATGTTGTATGCACTCTTTATATTTTTTCCCCTATTTGGGGATTATGAGAGTTTTTTCCATCCTTTTCTGAAAAAAAACAAACAAAAAAACCTTTCTATATCACGTATGTTCCCAAACCACGAACAGAGAGATGGCCAGCCCAGCTCTAGATCTGAGGTGAACCAAACACGCAGAGACGCTCCGTCTTACCTCTTCGTAAGCTCTCCCTCCACCGTCCTGCACTCTGTCATCTGTGGAAGACACAGCGTTATCAGAAGCCTTGTCAAGAATGTCATCGCAGGTGACGCCCACACCAAAGGACCACAGACAGTCCTTCACAGAAGAGCGGGCATAATGATGTCGGCCTAATTTCTACTATCAAGCAAACTTTTTCTGTTTATAGTACAATATTAGCCTTCTATGAGCTTCATGGAAGAGGAGGGGGTTACCAGCTAAAACACAGATGTGAAGTCAGTAACAAATCGCATTACCAGCCTCACGGATCTGTGTGTCATCGTCAGAGTTAGCTCGCGGCAAGAAACCAGTGCCGGCAGCAGTTAATAGTGACAGAAAAGCAAAGTCAGGCGTCTACACCAAACCACCTCAAGTTAAGATGTCTTTACAGTTCATCACTTTTCGCTGATGGTGGTTTCTCTAAATACCCTACCGGCAGTGCCCGATGGTGCGTAACCCGAGAAGTCGTGAAGCCCAAATGCCCAGGCACCTTCTATACCCCTCCTCACCCTCAGAGAGGCAGCAGTCTTTTTATTCTTTGACTGCCTAACACACAGCCTCGTCCTGCTGGAGCTTGTGGTGTCCTGACTCCAGCTTCCGAGCATGCTTTTGTCCCAGCCCACAGAGCAGAGACACATGCACCTTTTCACTTGTGTTTCTGGCACATGTTTTATGTGTGCCTGCTGTGTGCAGGGCACTGCATTAGACACTTTCGTGTAGGTCCAGAGACTCTGAGAAGCAGTCAGTCACAGAGAAGGCCAGTCATCAGGGGAGACGAAACCTGACCTGCTCAGCCCTTAGCCCAAGGGTTCCAGCTGTCGTGTGCGTGCACGCGTGCATATGTGTGTGCATGCATGTGCATGCATGTACATGTGTGCACGCGCGTGTGCATGCATATGTACGCATGTGTGTGTGCATGTGCATGTGCACAGGTGTGCATGAGTGTACATGCGCACGTGTACGTGTGTGTGCACTGCATGCATGTGCATGTGCATGTGTGCGTGTGTTGCATGCATGTGTGCACACATGTGCGTGCGTGTATGTACGCGTGTGTGCGTGCGTGTGTGCCTATTGTGTGCGTGTGTGTGCACATGTGTGCATATATGAGCGTGTGTGCACGCATGTGCACGCACCCTGGGAGGGTGGGGGGATCTCTGCTCTCTCGCTGGTGCAGCCTCACAGGGTGGCTCTGAGCCTCAAGCAGACATTCAAATGGAGCCTTTTCACTGTATTATTCAAATATTTGACTCCATTCACCCACACAATCCAAACAAAAACACTTTCTATCTGGCCTGTTTTTTTCTAACTCTGAACCTCAGCACAGAGAGCAATTTGCCTTTCAACATAATTACTCTGGTAGGCTCAGCCTGTTAAGAAGGCTTTTAGAGGCAAAAGTTCAAACGGAGAAAAATCGTTTCTACAAATCCACCTCTCCTCAGCAGAAGGAACGTGTAACCGCTCGGTGAGCCAGGCCTCTGCACGGCCCCATCCCGCCCCACAGCCCCGCAAACCTGAGTGACCCTGGGGCCGGGAGCCTCACCTGGCACGCCTCCACCCTGCCGGCCAACGCCGGACTCTCTCGGCTTTCCCGCGGCTCCTTTCTCGGCACCTCGCGGCTCCCCTTCTGCCCCCACGGCTCGCATGGCGGAGGCAATCGCGCGGGCCACCTCGCCGAGGTCCGGCTGCTCTCCCAGGTCCTTCAGGAGACTCTGGATAAGTGTTTCTGGGGGGCACACACAAGAGCAAGCACAGGAGACACCGGGGAGGAGCGGTCAACACGGAACGAAGGGATGAACGAGCGACCCCAAACGGCACGGCGGGCACCCAGCAGGTGCAGAGAGCGGTGGGACCCCAAGCGGAGCAGTGGAAGTTGTGTCGACGGAAGGCACAGTATCGGCCATTCCAAAACTCACTGCGTGGGCCTAGCAGCAGACCGGACGATGGGGAACAAGGGGTCAGTGAGTCCCGGGATGGAGAACAAGAACTATCATTCTCTGAAGAACAGAGTAAAACCTGAAAAGACTGCGTGCAACCTCAGTGACCTGCAGAGCCACCTTAGGCACAACGGACCACAGCCAGAGAGCAAGAAGGAGACAGAGAGAGAATGGGACCCAAAAGCCGAAGGGGAAGGGAAAAACCCTCGGCAATTCCCCCAAACTGGGGAAGAGCATTAAGTGTGAAAGCCAAGGCACCCGGCAGACCCCAGAACCAACCCGAGAGCGAGCCACGCAGGGGCATCTCCTGGGAAGGGCAAGGGCGAGACGGCTCCCAACGGCCCCCAGAGGCTGCGACGCGACGCAGGCAGTGGCTGACTTGGCGCAGAGCAGGGCGCGAGACACACTGCGTGTCTGGTAAGAGTGATGCCTTCACATATTTATAATCAGGTGTTTGATAACACACACAGGAATGACGTATTTGAAGTGTGAAAGAAAAAACTTCTAATTCAGAAGCCCACGTCCAGGGAAGATCGCCTTCCAGCATGAGGGTGACGGAAAGACATGTCCGTATCATTCGAGGAGCCAAGCTAATCTGTCACCAGCAGACCTGCAGGACACGAAACGCCGAGGGAATGACACCGGCTGGAAACACAGGCCTGTGAGAAGTGCTGGAGGCTAGCGGAAGGGCGGCCGGGTGGGCGCACGCGCACGACGGTCTTCCTCCTAACGCCTCTATTCCAGGAGGAAGCAGTCACGTCTAACGCAGGGTTTATAAAGCAGGTCGACGGGAGTACCTGCCACCAGAGGGTAACGGAACCGTGCTGTTGTAAGGTTACCACACTCGTCTTACATGAGGCATCCTGACAACCCTAAGCAGACGATTTTCAACAAAGCTGCCTTAATTCGAAGGCGTTTCAATGGAGAAAGAGAAATATTTTTTCAAAAGATGATCAAACAAAAAACTCTGACGTAACACTTTTATCCAGAATATACATTTAAAAACACCTATAACATCAACAATAATAATAAAAAGGGACGTTCCAATGAAAATAGGCAAAGGAACTGAACAGAAACTTCAGAAAAGAAAATATACAAGTGGCCAGTAAGCACATGGAAAAGTGCTCAGCACCATTACTAATCATTGAAAGGCTAATTAAAGCCACAGTCAGCATATTTCATGCCTGCTAATATGACTCAATTTTAAAAGACTGAGAACAAATTTTGCAAAGGAAATGTAGCAGCAGGAACTTTTGTACATCCCTGGTAGGAGTAAAGCTTTAGAGCTCCCAGGAAGCCCCTGTGGCAGTTTCTTATAATAGAATATACTCCTTCCATATACCTAGAAAATGTGCTCAAAAACCTATGTCCATGGAAGAGGCGTATAAGATTGTGTTTAGCAGCCTTATCCGTAATAGCTATACAAAAAAAAAAAAAAAAAAAAAAAAAAAAAAAAAAAAAAAATCCAAAAATCCATCAACAGGAGAATGGACGAACTATCTGTCATTATCTGCACAAGCAGCAATGAACTATGGTCACGTACAAACATCCGGACGGATCCAAAGGGGATTATGTTGAGTGAGAAGCCAGACACTGAAGAACACACATGATTCTTTCAGTAGGAGGTGATTCCAGGACCGGGTGGGGCCTATGCAGGGGACAGGGTGTTGAGACAGACCGGGCACAGGAAGACACTCCCTGGGATGATGGGGATGTCTAATGGCACACTGGTTATGTGTGCACACACGTGTCAACACACTCATTCATACGCTCGGCATCCACACACTTCATGATACGTAAATCTCACTCCGTAACCGTAACGTTTAACGGAGTCCTGTTTCTGACGTGGGGGCAGGGGGCTGGCTTTTTTCCTGAGTATTTAATGCTGGCTAAATGTGTCACTGGTTCCTAAGTGAAGGTTCATGTAAGATGATTATTCTCATGACTTTGCTCCCGAAGAACAGTGACCTAGTGAGAGTTCACACTTCCCATGGCTTCATTTAGGCGATCCTCTGAACTAAGTTGGGGGGGCATCATTCCCCGCTTCTTACAAATTAAGAAATTTAGGCTTTTTGTATTTTTTAACATTTCCATCTTTGGGAACTAAACTAGAGTTGCACACGTAATTCCCTGTAGCACTTTCCCTCTCTTGCCCGCCAACAGGCATGAGAAGTTCTCAGCGCTCATGATTCAGCAGGGCCCCTGCCCTCACACCAAACAGAAGCCAAGCGTCTGCTCTGAAAAGGCACTTGCAGAAAAAAGAAGGTCCACGGTGACCCACATTTGCCAAATCCACTCCAGCAGCCTTTCCTTTCATCACGGTGACAATGAGAAACAATCCTGACAGAAACCGTGGCAAGAAAACACCACAGTCACTCGCCACATGCAGACCCGACCACTCGTGCAACACAGGGGTAGACGGACGCGGGGCCCACGGCGTTGAGGGACCGGCAGGCACAGCGCTGGCCCAGGAGGAGGAAAGAGCGCAGGGGCCTCACCCACAGAGGCAGACAGGAGCACGGCGCCAGGCCGTGTCTGCTTTCTGCGTGGACCCGTTAGCACAGGCAACTGCCAGGTGTCGGCCGTGAACCCCACTGCTGGCAGCACTGGATTCCTGTCCACTTTCTCAAGCCTCACAATTCTGGAATCTGCAGGGGTTTCCCCTTTCTCGGTGATAAGTGTAGCGGAGACTTTGGTTTCTAAGAACACATTTAAAATTCTCACCAGTCACTACGTGGCCCCTATGGTGCTCCGCCCCCGGGGCTGCCGAGCCAGATTCGCATGAAGAAAAGTTGACCCCTTTCTGGGGGGTTGGGGGGGAAGCGTGCACTCTGCCGCTTAGGAGAAAGAGTGCTACGTGCGTCCAAACATTGCTTCAGGGAGCTGAGAGCTGATGAGGCTGCACACACAGATCCGGCCCACGCGGGTACGGACTCCTCTCCCCACGGGCACTCCCAGGGTGTGGTCGGGGCAAGCCTCTTACTCTCACTCTCACTGGTGCTCAGTTCCCTTCTGTGTAAAATGGGAACAAGTGAGCCAGGCCTGAGAAGCACTTCCGTGGGGCAGCACCACGAGTGACAACTCTAAGTATGACCATGATGAGGCGCTGATGGTCGCGAGTCATGTAGCCCTCCACTGCTTTTCGTCCCTCACGACCCATCATGAACACAGAGGCTGGGGTGTCCGTGCTGAGCTCCGGCTACAGTTCAGCATCTTCGCAAGCAAGAAGCAGAGAACACGCCGTGTGTGCCCCAGAACGCTTACTTGTGCCAAGTGATGCTGCCTCCCAGTTGGTTCAACATTCAACGTAAGATTGCGCTTTGTGAGACGGTTCTTTGCCAAAGTATTCATGTGCATTTAAAGACGTGTGAAACTCAGTTATTAAAGTCAGACCCCAGGCTCCACCCATCTACTCTCTCACCTGTTCCTCCACCCGACCAACCCACTCACCCATCCACCCACCTATCCTATCCACCCTTCCACCCATCCACCCATCCACCCACCCATCCACT